AAAATTGTTTGAAAAAAAACAACAAAAAAAAACGAAAAACTACTGCAATCAGACTGACAGCAGCTAAATGACTGGCAGAGTTCAGTTTCAACATGTTTTTGCTTTATGATATTTAATCAAGAATGCATTGCAGCAACTACTGCTGAGCTCGTGGAGGATAGATACATGATGAGAGACTTCTACAATGACGAACACTTTATCTCTCGGTGCTTTATTGAAACAGCATGGGCTTTGTCAAAACAACTACGTCTGGTAAAATTACACATAATTTGCAAATTCTGGATTCCAGAAAACACTAATACAATACATCAGAAAATGCAATGTGGGTACCTGAATGTGTGTCTGTGTGTGTGTGTGTGTGTGTGTGTGTGTGTATGTAACTAACCCTCTCTGACCCCTGCATGACACGACCAGCTCTGCAAGACCAATCAGACTCAAACTCTTCCACCAACATGCATCAATAGCATTGTCACAGCCGAGACTCACTTGGGAATGCCTCGTCTGTGTGGGACAGGCATGGCTGTGGACGCCCCGGCCCCTTCGGAGTTGACACTCCTGGCTGGGGTCCCTGGCATCCCTAGCTTCCTGATTACCAGCTGTCCTTGCCCCCACTCTGCCTGTCAAATCCCAGTAACTGAGAAATAAACAAACAGTAAACAAAGGGCCTAGTTTTAGCACCACCAGCCGCCACAGCATGACAACAGGTTTGTCACTCTCGCTGCCTGCTGAGGATAAGTTAGCCTTGCACTCTGGAGAGCCTTCCTTCATCTTAAAACCACTGGAGGAGGAGGAGGAGGAGGAGGAGGAGCTGCAATCAGTGACAGCGCTTTTGTCTATCCTGCCTCAAGACAAACAGCATCAGCCAAACCAAGAGTAAAAAAAATACAGACTGAAACAATCTAATAGCATGTCGTTCTGGTTCTTCGATGAAACTGGCTTGCAGTTCTGCTAAAGATGGAGGCTTTGTGTTTAATCCCCCCCCCCTCTTTCTTATTGTCTCAGTCTGTGGACATCTGCTCGCTACAGAGACAAATTCCCCTAACTTGAGACACACTAGCCACCAAGAGGAGAACGCAGGCCTATTAATAGGCTTCCTGCTCGTAAAAGAGATGTGGCAGATCAGGTTTTTTGGGGGGAGTTTGATATGCATGTAATACAATATTAGTTCAATTGTGATGCACCGTCAGAGGCCCCCTCTATGGAAATCTGCATGAAATCACTGTCTGGGCAAAGTCGTAAATCACCTATGGCGTTGTTTATTATTGCAGTACAGTTTTATGGAGGGCGGGTGCTTTGCTGGGACGTCCCGGAGAGGAATGCCCAACAGAGGACCTGTAAGGTAATGGCCCCTTTATTTCCAAGAGGGGGTTGATGGGAGTTCAGTGAGGATCAGGCCTCTTGAGAATAGCATGGTAACTGTTAAGCCTGATTAAAGCACCGGGACACCTATGTCGAACAAACGCAAGTCCATGGCATTTTCAGTGAGCAGCCACCTGAAGCACAGCACATAAAGGGATGATAGAAATTAAAGTTCTGGCGGAGGATTTTGAGTCAGGGACACGACACAAGCCAAACAGACACAATCTAGCTCTTATTTTTATTCCCGTCTGTTTTGTACGAGCAGCCAGTGCGGCTGGCCAACATGCCACAACACCCACTTTTTCTTTGACAAAATGTCTGGTCTGGTTGTGTCTGACTTTTTCTGCCAGGTCTCTGAGCATCGGGAAAACTTATCAAAGAGAACAGACCTTTATTCTGTTCAGCTCCTCTCTCCTAGAAAGAGAGCTAGTCCGGACCTCAGACGCTACTCAGTCTTTCAGCTGTTTGGAAGTGGAAGAAGCACATTCGGGGTCATTGTTGCCGGTTGCATACCGGTGGTAGCAGTCCGACTTGCTTTGTCCAACCTGGCAGACGCACATACCCTGGTCATCACTCCCACTCCATGTGAAAGCATAATTGATCTGGATATTAAAAGGCTCTAAATAAAATTCCATGCATGCTAAATTCTCCAACGTGGTTTTGGAGGCCGGACACTTTCTTCCCTGTCCAGTGTAGTGTTACATGCTGGACCGTCTTAGCCGTGACCACCTCATAAAATCAGCCTCATAAATATTTTTCATGTTATTTAAACAAACCTAGCGCTCTATGACTTGGAGTGGTTTGATATATGTAAATTATGCATGGAGGCTCCTGCAGACATACACTATACTAAGGCCAGAACTATTACAAATGTTGGGCTGAGCGTTGGCTTGGCTTCAGGAGCCTCAAGAATGTATGACGCATGTCGAGGCGATGAAGAAAATTTAGCGTTGTCTCACGGGAATTATGAAAAATATCTAATTAATAGAAACCAAAAAAAAATTATAAAAATATACATTCTCTTAAAAAGCTATTCCAAACAAAAGTCACAAAAGTGTGCTTGTAATTCAGATGGAACCTTGATGTAAAAGAGTATTTCATAGCAGCTATTGTGTAGATTTAAAGGATGTGATTAACATGCGGGTGTGGTTTAGTCTACACTTGCACCAGCTCCAGTTTCTATTCGCTTCCTGGTGGGATTAGTGACTGAGGATTGTGACACCAGTATCAGTCTCTGGACATTGGTGGCAAATAGTAATGTCATTCCAGTAATATCAATACACAATTAAAAGAAGTAAAAAAAAATATCGCTTTATAAAAGTTTAAATCAAGCCTCGTTCATAGACAGAAAGTCTTTTTAATACCTGTGTAAATTTTCATCTTTTAAGTTGTAGTTTTGAATTGAAGAAACAGAGAGCAACATGTAACAGTTCACAAATCAGTTTTATTAATTTAAACACAATCAAATAATAATGTCAAAAACATCTGTACACATATTTTGCAGACACAACAATCTTTTGCATTTCACAATGAGGCCCATGTAGTGTAAAGTATTTCCAGTTTGCATTTATGATTGCAACATAATAAAAAAAAGCGTGCTGTATGAATCTATAAAACATTTCCTCTATTTACCTACCATTACCTTGATCTAGCAGCAATATGTAGATACCCCGGAGCACGGGGGGAGAAGTTGTTTTGACTAGGTGGGAGGGAGGGGTGGGGTGGGGCGGGGCGGGAGTGTTCGGTAACGGTGGGAGGTGTTAGGGGAGAAGAGGGATCCGAATTGAAATGTAAAAAGGCCAGCAGTGATCATGTGCAAAGGAGGGAAAAATTAGAAACACAACGAGTCGGTTTCTCTTTAAGAAATTCACAGTCGATAGCACATGTCCTGTATGTTCACAAACCCCTCGAAGTTAGTGGCTTTTCTCTAAACGTTAATTATGGTTTCCCCATCCACAGATGTAGAAGCACCATGGAAAGGGCTTCGTGTATTTCAGCTACATCAAAGAGGGACACAGAATGTACTTTCAAAGTTGAAATAAAAACACTACATCATACAAAATTACGCTCGCTGTACAAGAGTTGTTATAGCGCTTGTATAAAAGATAATAAAACCTATTCAAGCCTGCATTTTTAAATATCAGATTTATTCAAATTTGTTGTTAAAATGGCTCTGAGGAGGCAGGAAATGCCATATGCCAAAATCCTTATCAGAATTAAGTTTGCTTCCAAATATATGGGGTCAGTGCTGCAAGCTGGTGAAATGCCGTAAGGACACAAGTTGTGAGCTACCTTTTTGAATAACTAAAAAAAAAACAAATAAAAAAAACAAAAAAACAAATACCTCTTTCCCTTTGAAATGAGTCTAAAAAAGGACTTGCAATAGAGGAGACCTGTTATGCTATATAAAGATGTGAATGAAGTTTCCTGTAAGGACGAGAAACATCACAGAATCAGATGAAAGGTCATTGACACTTGACATCCATGCTTTTGGTCTTGACAAAACGATTTATCACAAAATCCCATTATCTACATATTTGTTTACTGAACAAAACTTGAACACATCAACACTTTCAGGCGTCGCACAAGCTTATGCGCGATGGGATGCCTTTTTTTTCTCTTTTTTTTTTTTTTATACTTCAATGAAAAAGCATTGCCGCCTTTCAAGAGCACGTACCTAAATGAATATAGGAAGGAATAGTCCAGTGATTACAAACTTACACACACAAAAAAGATTTCCTCTGTACACGATTGTCTCAGCATTGTAAATAAAGTTTTTTGTAATTTTCTTAAATTATTAGAAAACCCCTTTTTTTTTTTTTTTTGTTTCTTCCATAAACGTCTTCCTCTCGCTGTGGTGGAAATCAATAGTACTTCGTAAAAGGCACGAGTCTTTTGTCGTCGAGGTACCTTCTCAGTGGCACGGCGCCACTCACAAAGTCTCCGTTCATAAATAAGAAGCACAGGACTAACAGGCCGACGGTTATCACGGGAGCAGTCGCTTTGTTTGTCTGTCCCACGACGGAGGGGAGAGTTAAAAAGTAGGTAGACAGATAAGTAACAGAAGGAGACAGGAGGTGAAGAGCAGAAGGGGGGAGGGGGGAGCTAGAGGGACGGAGAAATGTCACCACCAGTAGTCGTGGGCCTGTGGTTTACTGTAGCTGAGTTCTGTGGCGAGGCGGGCGAGGCCATCAGTAGCTCTGCTCTTCTCACAGGTGTGAACCCTGACAGAGTCCCGGCACAAACAGGGGGCCGTAAAACACTTTGACAGCTTCAGAAAGCGGCCAATTCACAGTAACCAGGGCAAGCAGCTGCAGCGCCGTAAATTCACCTCTGTCCTTCGCCTCCAGCAAAGAAGAAGAAGAAAAAAAAAAAAAAAAAAAAAAAAAAAAAAGTTTAGGGGTTAAGACGAAGTGTGACCGTATGTCAGCACATTAACCGTGTGCTCAGCCTTCTTTTCTCCTCTTCTTTTCTTCCTGTGAAGTGGAAGACAGACGCCAAGCAGCGCAGGGGGGCTTTTTTTTTTTTTTTTTTTTCTGAGCTGTGGAGTCTGCGGCAAGCGTGGGACAGGGCTGGAGGGCGAAGGTGAAAGGTTGCAGGGTGTGCTGAGGTGGAGCAGGGTGTATGATGGTGGTGAGGTGCTACAAGTACTCCAAGTCTAGAGCGTGGTGGAGGGCCATGAGGTCTGAATGGCTGGAGATCCTCCAGAAGGGCATGTTGTGCTGTGGAAGGAAAATAAAAACATATTATGTAAAGTTTTATTTATAAATTCTACATAATCTTAAGGCTGAAGCAATTAGTGAACTGATATGATTTGAAATGAAAATGGTGGTGATTGATAAATGACTGAAAGGAAAGAGAAATGCTAAGAACTCTCAAGTTCCAGCTTCACAAATGTGTGGATTTATTGCTTTTTTTCTCTTTTATTTCATTGTAAATATAAAATCTTATGACAAAGACGTGACTTTGGGGAACAGTGATGAACATTTTACATTATTTTCTGACATTTTGAACATAATCAAATAAAATCAATATTGAAAATAGTCTATCTGCAGCCTTTCTGAACACTTGTGAGAGGCGGTGGGAAGTTTTTACGCAGCTAATACGTTCAGTGAATAAAGTAAGACCGGTTCATTCACCAGGAAAAGCAATCATATCAATAACACCCCCCGACTGCTCCTCTTGCTCCCTCGTGCATACGTCTATGCGGCCAAATAGTACATCTGCACCTCTAACTAATTTCTCTGTGTAGTTTTATACCATCAAACTAATCCAGTGGCTGTCTTCAGCCTCGACAGAAGTGAACTCCCCACAGTCTCTTTTAAATGTACCTCCTGCCTGTTGGTGTGTGTTTAGGACAGTGCAAATGAGCTGTTGTTTCCAAGCAGAGGACGGTGGAGAAACCTGAGTCGCAGAGAATGAAAGGAGCTTGTCAGGTAGAGTCCTCAGCTCCTCAGTGTGTGGAGCCCATTACCCTCCCCTTATCAAAGGTATGGCCTCTCCCAGGCATATGTTCCGCTTAGGAGAGCCTGCACTGACCCTTAAAAAGCTCTTTGCTTTTTGTTTTGTAAATTGTCTTTGCTTTTAAGTTTAAAAGCTGGAGATGTTATCTCTCCCTTCTGTCCCAAGCGATGGCGAATAAGTGAAGGCAGAATTGTTTCAGGGATTTTTTTTGGTGGAGGAATGAGGGCCGAGAGAACTCTTAAGACATTTGCTTTTGTAGTTCCACACAGTGTCACGTCTGATATGCGCCTCCTGACGGGTGAAATTGTTGTGTTATTTCACGTCCTCTCTGATGTTGACACAGAAACCTTTTACCGCATGGCGTGTCGTGGGACTCGCACCACTCAGACAGGGGGGGGGGAGCGTTATCCTTCCATCAATGTCACACTCCAACAACTCAAGACTGAGTAAAAATATTTGCATGTTTTTCCACAATCATCCCTCAAGACCATATTCCCAGGGTGTGTTCGCTTTTCATAATACAGAGCTATTGCTTTACACACTTATCCAGGGTAAAGGTTGCTACCTCTTCCTAATCACTGCTTAATCACTCTTCATCTGTCCTCACACTTCTCTACTCATTGTTTACTGAGAAACAGGTGAGAAAGGAGCTGGAGGCTTTTCAAAGGGAAACTCCATGTCTTCGCCGTGACACCGTGGCTCACCGTAACTGTCAGTGAAATATGCTCCCGGGCCGCTGATTAATTTGCTAATGAATATGTTTGCTGTGTGTAGCTTGCATGTGGCATTTGGTTTACATCCAAACTTGGCAGAAACGCTGAATACACAAATTGTGGAGCAAGAGCCAACAGGTAACATGAAAAGGGCGAGTCAGATTCATCTGAACAGATACCGTCATGTTTCCTGAAAGAGTGCGGGAGATGTCGGCTTTGAGCCTTTCTTGATCAGTCTCGTGCCAACGGGCTTGTCATTGCAGTAAATATTCTAATTTCATCAACAATGATTTAAGTCTCCTTTATGAGCGCTCCATTTACGATGTGCCTTCATCATGCCTGAAAGGGCCTGTCTAGCGTTACACATACAGCATTCACGCTGCTCAGGGCACCGAGCAGGAATATATAATTATGCCATCTCTCCCCTCCCTTGCTCTGTAAACCTGAGATGGAGGAAGAGCGCTGATTACACACCACAGACTTTCTCTCTTGTACTTGGATGCACTATAAGAGGATAAACACGTAAAAGTAAAGGACGACTGTAGAGGGGCAGAGCTGGAGCGCTGATTCCTTTCTTTGGAAAGGTATGGCAGGTATGTTTTGTGTTCATAATGAACTCTCCACATTACAGAAAGTAATCACCAAGTCCAAACATTATCTTTTCTCTTTGCTCAATGCGGTTCTGATAAATGTTTTCACCAGATGACGCCATTGTAGTATGTGCTATATCTATTATTCCAAGACCTCTTACCTTTTTTGAGCCTTGCTCCTCTTCCACACCATCTCCAACAACAATGTAAACAACTTTCCTCCCGAACCTTTGAATTACTCTCTCAAAGCAGCTCTCCTTCCCTGCGGAGGAGTCGACAGAAGGATGTTAGTGGAGCATTGCATGGATGCAAACAGATACTCACTTACATACACACGCATTCGCAAACTGAAAACCATCAAGTTGATTCAGAGGCACAGGGTGAGAAGAGCCCCCTTTAAAAACACCACACGTACAAAATAGGGCTAAGTGTAAACACTTTGAGCTCAGCCAGGGGATGTGATAAGATCGGCCTTCAGATAAAAACAATCTGAAAAGCATTAACTCACTCCTCCTCCTCAAACATGGGACAAATGAACTTAAATCAGTTAAAGCAGAATGCTACAGGATCTGGTTCGGAGGGCCAGTGTGCATAATGCTCCAAGGAACCCTGAGCCTGCACTCTGCTCCAACTCTGTGCTGATGGGCCTGAAAATGGCACGGGAGTGAAGCTTGATGTTTATTTTGCATTTGAAACAGTGAAGAAGGGGAAGGACTGGAGGAAAAGGGGGGAGATGGGAGGAGGAGAAGGGGGTGGGGGGGTCCTGTTGCTGTGGAATGACATAAATGTGCAGAAGTGGTTTCATATGCAGAGACTGAGCAGGAGAGGCCTGGGGAGGCCCAGCACAGGCCCAGCTCCAGAAAAATAATCCCAGGCTGATTAGGCTGATTCCTTCATAGAAGAACATCAACCCTCTCCGGTGACTGAATCTCCCACCCCGTCCACGCCTCAGCCCCGTCACTTAAGTAGCGTGTGTGTCTTAACTGTTTACCCTCACATTGCTACAATAATAAGCGTTCATGTCCTGAAGTGATAGACTGATGATAGAGGAGAAACATTACAAAAAACACGAGGAGAACTCCAATCACACACTTCTGAATATTTACCTATTTTGGTTGCGCTATAAATATTCTCGATAGGAAAGACTATTCCCAAGCCATAGAGCAGGACCTTAGCCAGGGCAGGGATGAGCTGTGTGGTGGTCACCAGGATATTCACACAGTTTGACCTGGAGGAGAGAAAAGAGGGGGCATCAATTTAAATCACTCCGAGGTAGGACAAATGAAAAACAATGTGCTGAAAATGAAGACAAAGTAATGTATGAGTCGTTTAAAACATGTTCTTCAAGGATGGGTTCCTCCTTTTTCAAGTTTGAGCTCTTAGCACACTTATTTTTTCAAAATAAGAGGACAAAGCCTGTCCAAAAGACAAAATTCAGAGCATTGGTGTTTCTTTAATAGTATGGAGTTGACTTATTTACACCACATGCGAGTTTATATATGTGCGGTGTGGGACTGGGTACAATTTTCCTCGCTGGAGTCCTACCTTGAGTGGATTAATGTTAGTGCTTTCAGTGCCAGTGTTAACCAGGAGTCCGTCAAGGCTTCAATTTCTGCTCGCAATTGCAACCAGGCTTCCCTTTTGGCTGGGCCCAGCAGACCTGAAACGTAGGGTAACATTGTTTGGATTGGACCAGCCCTCTGAATACCACTGAAATTTTCAAAATTTACCCTGACCAAGTGGTGTGGCATGTGTGCTTTTAGAACACACACGTGAACACGCGCAGACACTCACACAAAACGCCCACGCAACGAGGGCACGTACATCTGCAAACTCATTTTCTACTCGACAGACCAGTACAGAACAGCGCTGCTTGTTGGGGGATTACCTCCGACGTTATTTTTGTAGGTGGTGTAGATTTCTTTTACTCGTCTGTAGCGGAAGGCCAGTTTTCTCATCCAGTCCACGCCTCCCCGCACGCCTGTGGCCAGACATAGGTTGGCACTGGTCGCTGCTGCGTGGAAACCATCAGCGCTGAAGTTATACGTACTGAGATTAAGACAAAGAAAGAATCTGTTAGCCCAAGCTGCTTCATCATTGATGGTAGCCAAGCATATGACACATTTATTACTAAACCAAGAACCAAGGTGCAGTAATATTGTACCTTAAATCTTGCCCGTTGTCGTCAGAGGACACATCGTCGATATGGACCTGATCACATTCCTGCAACACACAAAACATGCACTTTGAGTGAGGATATAGTGAGGAATAGAGTTTATTGAGGGTTCTTTCTTGGGAAAGGACACTCCCCACATGTTCCAGGTCATTTTTCACTTGAAAAAAATATATTTATTCAGGAATTTGTGCTCTGGCTGGACACCTCAGCTTTAATCCCCCTTCGCCTTGACTTTCTCCTTACATCCTTTTGAATCAGCCCCCTCGCGTTTTTCTTTCCCTGTACCCTCAACGGCTCTGTCCAAACAAAAAGTGAACCTCATCATCAGTCTGAATGGACTGCTACCACTAGAGGGGTCTAAAGATATGCACACCCACAGACATAACCAATTAAGTCCCAATCCAGCAACTCTAAACACTCCCCAGGTTGGCATTTGAGCAGCTATGTCTGAGAGCATAGATATATATACATACAGTAGAAGGATGTATGTAGGGTAGCTGAATATATAAAAGGACTTGGCACTAATGGTCTGTGCATGTGTGTGTGTGTGTGTGTCTGTGTATCTCTACACATGTGTGCGCGCTCCTCTTCCCCTTTGGGGGTGCCTGGCTCCTCTTGGAAAGGTAGAGGGATTCTGCAGCTCTGCTCTGATTCCACCGGTACACAGTAACACAATCCAGACTTTCTGGTAAATGTAACCTACTAGAAAAATTGAACCTGATGCTAACCGCCAATGAAATTATGACCTCTGATTGCTGCTGCGCCACACACCAACACAGCCCCGGGGCCAGTCAGCCAGCCAGCCGGCAAAAGAGCGCAGGAGAAAACACACAAAAAATCTGTTATTAGTTTTCCATTTATAGGAACGTGCTAGTGCCTCCCCCTTTCTCCTCTCTCTCCAACCCCCCTCAGCCAGCCTGAAATGTGAGGGAGTCCTGCCTGGGCATTCAGATCAACACATTTCACATGGGGCAGAGCAGAGAGAGACTAGCTTGAGATGCTTTTTGCTAAAACTTGGGATGGCTAGCAATTTTGCCAACAGGAGGTTGAGCGATAGCCTTGTTAAGAGCAAAAGGCTTTTCTGTGAATGTGACATCAACCTTTCAATTTGTTTCAGTCAGCTCTAATATAGAATGAATAACAGAGAGACTATTTGATATCTATATGAAATAACTTTCTCTGGAAAGCTACAGGTTTTAAATCGGCTGTGGAACTGCCAGAAAGGTTAGTCTCCCCTGTTTAAAGTTATGTGAGAAATAATAATTGAAACTTGAGAGACAGAATTCCTCCGGTCTCAAGTATGAAAAATCCCTCCTGATTTTGTAAGCTTTTTAATTAAGTTTCATCCGGCTGTTAAGACACCCAAACACAGAAAAGTACTTCCTTGTTTTAAGTCAATCTAACTGAGGCCAAATGCTGACGTTATTGCATTCCTCTCTAATGCTAGAGCAGGGTAAGGGTAAGGGCTTTGGACCGTAAACCTTTTTTATTTTACTGGTTCCCCTCTGAACAAATTTTTCATCTCCCTGGATTTGTGGGGAGAGGGAGGGGAGAGCGATGTGAGGAGAAACTCAAACCAGCTGTTCTTTAACAGAATTAAAATCTTGACCCCCAACCCCAGCTCTAATGCAGCCATTCTCTCGCCAAGCCTCTCCCAGCAAGCCCCGAGATCCAAAGAGGAAAAGACTTTGACCCTGTGACCCCTCTCCCCTCCTCTCTGGGGCTCCGGCACCCCGATAAGGCGGTGGGAGGGTAGAGAGGTGGATATGCAGGAGAGCAGCGGCTAAACGCTGGGGGAGAGAGTCCAAAGTGACCTCACATGGTGCGAGCTCAGAGCCCCACGTTCCAGAAGATGGACTGCCAATTGGAGATGGGGTACAGGCGGGGGCTCTCAGCTCAGTTGGCCTAATCTGTTTCCAGACACTCACCGGCAGATCTTTAATAGTTGAAGAGAGCAGCAATTTGTCCCAGCTTGATGATCCGCTGCCAACAACCTCGTGGATAATTTATGTTCACAAATTATCCCAAAACGTTCCTCAGAACTGAACTAAAGCCAGAAGTATTGATGTGCTTAATTCCTTAAGTAGTGGAGGCATGTCTGTTTGTTTAGGAAAACAAAAACAGCACCCTGGGTTAAGCACCACATAAAGCCTCCTTTCAAAGACCTCCCATTCTGGTGCAAGTGACTGGAATGCTTCTATTATCCAGTAATTACCTGCTGATGATTCAGACACAATCAGCCAACTGCACAAGCTCCTGCCACCTCTTTCACTTTGGTATTGGACCGTTCAGTCCCACTGATTTGGTATATCATTGCCTAATTGCATGCTGTCTCCTGGTACCTTGTTGGATGACAATAGTTCCTCATGTTTATTCTTCCTATGTAATTGTGTTTCTTTCACAATCTGACAGCCAGCATGGATCAAAACAGATATCTGAGAACAATATTACTCAGCATGTTCATTATGGGACCTACTTCATGTGCCAGAGCCGAAACTTCAACATGACCTGATATACATAAATATGTCTCAGTAATTAGGCCTAACTGTAGCCATTATAGCTGCCGGCTGATTATGAATGATTTTTCATGGACTTTTCCAAATCCTTAAAGCTAATAAACACATCAAACCTCAACAAGTGTAAAGTGTTAAAAATTCAAGAGGCCAAGGTAAACACAGCAGTTTGGGTTTTACAGTTTGAATGCCTGTACCCTTTTCATTTCGCTGTTTTTGCATGTTTACACAGTTTTTTTTTTATTCTGTAGATATTACAATGCATGATTAACGGCTGAATAGGGCTTGAGACCTCCAGATAGAAGTTGGTCTGTGTGTGCGCGCTGTGAATAAAAAGGGTGGGGGGGCGCTGGAAAAATGCGCAGACTCCAACAATTACTGTTCCCAGCTGGGGTTGGCATAAACCTCTGCACTGGCTCCCTGGGAGGACCGGGAAAGCTAATAGAGGAGGTGGCTGTGGGTAATGTCGTACAGTAACCCTTACACATACTCATTAGGAGCCACTTCTGAAGGTCTCGTAAACACCACAGAGCCATGGATGGTGCAGGTTCAAGTCAGTTAAGTACAGTCGTATAGTCGAAGTGGTATGGAAAGAAATACTATGGGGAGGTGAATTCTACTAACTGATGGACTCGCTGAAAGTCTCAATTGCAATATGGCATTGTTAAATGGATAGATTATGAAATGCCAAATAAATAGAACAGATCCAAAACATGAACACTGTTCATACAGAATGCAAATAAGAGCAAATGTAATGAGTTTCATAGAAAAGGATAAACATAATTTTGTTCATTTAGTGCCACTTTGTGATAAAGTAGCTAATTCATAGGAACACATGACTTATACAATAAAAAGAAAAGAATTCATAAGCTCTTAAAAGTTACTGTCACTGTCTCAATGGAAGGCTTAGAGGAAAAAAATAACAGGCCGCTATTATTTTATTTGTATAACAACAATTAAATGACAGGCCTTCAATATGGTGGCCCATTGAGGGGCAGTCTGCGAATTTCTTAGAACCTTTTGAACATCTCTTTTCCATCAAATCCCCCCATTCTCCCCTCACCAAGCAAACAGTGGTCTCTCTAAAACCTACAATCACTGCTAACTCACACCAGATGTTCCTACTGTACTCAGGAGTGAAGACCATCCACCAGAAGCCATTGCAATTACTTCTTATGCAAACTCTGCATCTTTGTGTTAAATTCATCAGCAACATTCTTTTTCTTTAATCTGAATTCATTCAGCGACCAAACAGTCTTTATCTGTACAGGAAAGATGAAATTACTAAAAAATGTACAATTGAAGGCAGGAGGCTTCCGCCTCAGGATGAGTCCATCTCTGCATCATTCACTCTCTCTTCCTTTCGCTGTCTCGCCGCTAGTCTGCTGACAACTTTTCACTGGGGAGGAAGTTATCAGAGCTCTCTTTGTTCCCTTGGTATCTGTCATTAAGCAATCAGTAATGACGGTCTGAGTCTTCCTGTAGCTCTGGAAAGAGCTCAGAGTGGTGACTGCAACAGTCAGAGACAGGCAGAAGAAAGAAACTCAGCAACGTATGTTACCAAAACACAGGAAGGAGCTATCTGAACTAACCTTTAGACCCGATTTCCCATAGAGGTGCAGGTCACTGCCGTACAGACAGTATCCATTTTTTTGGTACAAACTACACCTAGTCGTCCCCCCTCTCTCATCCTCTCTCTCAGGTGAGCTGTTCGGGTGGGGGTGGGTGGTCAAAACCACAGTGTGAGCGATAACAGCCGTCATCACAGCATTCTTTGTGACCCTACAGGCTAATGCCATGTGAAAAAGGCTCATCCATGGTTCGCAGGTTCTCAATACTACCACTCCACTGGCAGAGGCTGTCATCCCACCCCCCCGTGGTCTGTGACCCCCAGCAACTTCCTTCTCTGTTCCCACCACAGGCACCCCTGTCTGGGGGGAAAGGAGGAGGGTGCAGAAGGGAGGGGGGTTGTGATTACCTGGGGGTCAAACACAGGATGTGGGTAACAAAGGAAGAGTTCTTCGAACCTACTTCATTCCAATCCACAATCTGTGCTTGAACAGTCACGGAATTCAAACAGCAGCGCCAAACAAAGCACAGGTATAGAGAAGTCTCTGCTGGTTTTACAAAAATTCACACAATCCGGAGGAAGGGATCCAGAGGGAACACAAGCACCGTTTGCTCAGACATAGACTGAATTTTAAAAAGAAAATGCTCTTTAAAGTGCTGCTGTAATGACTGGAAAAGTTGGAAAAGAAGGAAACACCCCACAGGTAGGCAGTGAAAAGTATAAATTAGTTATGTGTGATGGATGAGCTGCTTCTCATTATTTCCTGTTTTTGGCGTTGCAAGTCCAAACCACACCTCAAAGGAGAGCAACATTAAATGCAATATCAAATCTCAGCCATTTCAGCATTTTCCCTCGGCAACAAACGTATCCATAGAGAGGCGGTTTATTCCTGCCAAGTGGACTGTTGTTTGGACAAATCTGTGCAAGTTTCTGTTCTCTTCTTCCACAGACCACACTGGGCAGGTGCTGTGTCTCCCTCTTTAATTCAGGACAAGAAATCTACTCTTTAATATCATCATTTGTCACCAGACAGTAATGTTATATTTTCCGTGCACCCGCAACCCCTATTGGTGCATGGGTAGAAGGTGGGGGTGAGGTGGAGCTCAGTGGAGCAAAGATTGACAAAGTGGCTTTGAAACCTCCACTTTCTCTCTGTAGTCTTTCCAAAACACATCAGTGGCCCCGCCTTGAGACTTGATGGAGTTCTGTCGAGGAGCACGACAGAACTGCTGCATCCGTGGCCAGGCAAATGATGAAATACCCACATCAGTGTGCACAGACCATCTGACAAAATATACCATATTTGAAAATGACCTAGTTTACTGTTGCCATTTGGTTTCAGCAGCATATTTTATATTGGGAAAGTTAAAAAAAAAAGGAATATGAACTCCTCATCCCTGGCTTCATAGCGTTACACAGTGCAAATCTTGATGAGTGACTGCTCTGTTAGGATGCTGGGAGATATCTGAAATATAAATACAAAATCCTGAGCTACAGTGTTAATTGGTAACCAATCAGCTGAACGACCAAATGTCATGATTCAATGAAAAGCATAGTTAGCGTTATGTTTCTCCTTACTGGGGGAAAAAAAAAAAAAATTAATAAATCAACTATCAAGGAAAACACCATAAAGCTACCAATCATATGGAATGGCGAGTACAGGATCTGAATCTCTACTGTGGGACATAAAACCTACAGAATAGCTCCGTACTAAGAGGCTCTGGAGGGCCATTTCAGCCACTAGGAAAAGGTAACCGTGCATTTCACAGCATCTCTCATTAACAGGCAGCCCCTGGGTGAGAGTGACAGAGGAGGTTTTAAACCTGTGAATGCAGGGTGGGAGCTATAAAAGGCAGTCAGCTCAAAGTGTCACAGGGTTGCTCTGCAGGTATGTGTGTGTGTGTGTGTGCGAGTGTGAGAGTTTGTGAGTATTTTCATGAGTGTTCGTACAGTATGTGTGTATATTAAGACTTTGCAGCACAACATGTTTGGAGTGCATGTGCAGGAGTGTGAGAGAGTGTGTGCACACAGCATGGAGGCATCAGTGGACTAATTTAAAATGTTCCCACCTTTAGAGACCTCTCCCCCTCTCTCTCCCTGTGAGTGGTTTGCCCCCATGCCCTTTATCCTCCAGACAGGGAGGGTTGTTTTCTCACTCAGGGAGGGGGGAAACGGCAGCCCTCGTACCCCACTGCGAGGGGAACACAGGGGGCTCAGCCAAAGAGAGAGAGGCCCCTGGTTCCCACATACTGCTGTGGTGTTAGCGTTTGGGCTGCAGCAGCGCACCTACAGTAAACTCACACCCTGAGTCACAGCAGAGCCGTCAGTCTTCCCTGTGAGCTCAGCCTCAGTGGGCTTCATTACACACATCACTTTACACCATCAATTAACTCCACATTCAACCCCACATCTCAACCCTTGCATAAAAATGGCATCCAATGAAACTGATTATGTTTCAAAAATAAGATATAAGAAAAACAAATCTTCTCAGTAATTTACTTGTAAAAGTATATTATTTTGAAAAAAAAAGTTATTACTTGCTTTGACGATGTAATTCTGAAAATAAAATAAAGGAAATAATGAAATTACTGATATTACCTTACAACTATGGTGTTGCTGTTAATTAACACATTGCAAAAATAATTGATTTTGTATCAAGTTTTATATCAGATGAACTGATTATATGTTTATCTCTGTAGCTATTGAAATACAACTTCTTCTACAAGGAAAATTAATACAGTGGAGATCACATCAATAGGGATCATATTGCCTTGAATTACTTTCCTAATACTTCCTTCAGTGAGAGCATTTTTGATGATAAAAACAGATTGTGCTGTTCATACAATACTACAGCCGTCTTTTAAAGGGCTGAGCAGCAAATGGTTTGTGCGGGAGGATCGATAGAAAGATTTGTGTGTGTGTGGGTTGAGAGGGGAAATCTTTTGGGGAGGTGCAGTATTTCTGGGACCCACTATCTAACAGTGAATGAAAAAAGAGAGCGCTGATCCAGAAAAAGGTTAGAGGAGAAAGAGGGAGAGAGAGAGACGTAAGGGTGAAACTGATCCCTGTTGACCCCTTCGGCATGCCCTCTTTCTTTTTATGACTTTCCTCTGAATCGTCACTCACCAGCTCTATCAACACGGCCCAGCCTCCATTCACACACACTCTCACACACACACTTGAACGCACATTATACACGAGATTGGAGTGTTTTCTGTGGCTTCGGCAGGCGGGGAACAATATTATGCTTAATTGTGATGTTTATAGGGCTGTAAACAACCCTTATGAATTTAAAATGTTTAAAATGAATGAAATGAATCTTTAAAACTAAAATTTGAATTCAAGCAAAATAATACTAAACTGCACATACTGTGAAGAATTAAGGAAGCAGGGTCCATATTTAATGTTCCTGTGCAGAGGCAGGCAGGACAACAGTGTTAAGACTTAGATGGGACCGCTCACACACACACACCGTTAGGCCACTAACTCTGCACCTGTGTTTCTGCACAGCCTCTGGGGTCTCCCTTTATGGCTTAGACTAAATTAGATGGACCATATGCATTTCTGCACATGCTTAAATACATAACTGCTGCTGGCTGCGGTATTTATAGCTGGACTCTATTTAGCTCTATCTGAGATGGAGGACTGTAAATCAGCAGAGAGGAAATACAACTAGTTAGATATTGCTGAGACCTGGCACTTAACACTCAGAGTGGCCCAACTCAGTTTAAGAGGAGAGCTCTATATGCCTTCAAGAGAATGTCACTCCTCCTCTGGTATGATTGTTAATGACAATCATTTCAGTGTCTGCAGAGAGGTCTTTACATTGCACAGTTTAAAAAGCATTCTTGTAGCAGACCACATAGAGCTACTTCAGTCAGAGTGGAAAAAAATCTGAAGCTTTTAAGTGTCATAACAAAATCTAATAATTTGGTAACTGAGATAGAGCAGAAGAAATACATTCGCTGCATTTTTAAATAATTTTATAAGCAGTTTGAGCTGCCAATTCATCTGTGAGCAGTTTCATCACACATGAAAAGAAATCAAAACACAGGACAGATGTTGAGCAAAACCACATTTAAGCGTTGTCACAAACTTCCATTTTTTCAAATGATTGGGGCACATCTATTAAATAAAGTGCAGATAGAATGGATTCTACATGGCCAGGGCATAAGGAAATATTTAACCAGCCAATTGCAGCCAATTAACTTTGATCACGATGACTGCATTTGGAATCTCAGTCACTCGTCTGTCTGGGGGAGTATGAACATTTTCTTTCTCTGTGTCTCTCTCTCCCCCGTTTTTTCCTCCTTCTTGGGTTTGCTTCATGTAACAAAGCCGAACATGGTGGTGGTGAGTAATGAGACTTGGCAGACTGGCCACAGATCTCTTCACACTTAAGTATCAAACAAAACATTTCCTCTACTGTGAGGTCAACATAAAGCAGGACACTGAGGGAACGCGCTGGGTCACTGGGATCAGATTCAGCGGGAGAAAGACACAGAGATGAAGAGGCAGGGAGAAAAATCCAGGAAAAAAACTCAGTTAAATTGTAGACAGAGAATTGGACAGAGCAAGTGTTGAGGGAAGTAACACGAAGATGAATTGCTTTGTTTATTGCTAAAATGCGATGAGCACAGATAGTTAGTTGGGTTTGACATCTGGATCTGGACAGAGGATAGTAGATAAATTTCATATCGGTGTATACTGCATGTATGAACAAATGTGCTCACACTTTTTCTGTACATACAGTCTGAGCCTATAGGCATCCCTGACCCTCTGGTATTACTTCACTGCTCCCCAGGGTGAGGCAGACACTCAAACACCCCACCACATGCGCACACACAGACACCTCCCTGGCCCTGATCCCTCTATTCCTGTGCCCCAGGGGCAGATTTTACACTAGCTGTACATGAATCAGGGGGGTAAAGAGGCGTGGGAGGGAGATGGCGGGGGATTTCATGCTGTGACGGAAGGGTCTGTGGTGTAGGTGGACAGCGACACCAAGCACACAGCATGACACACAGACAGACAGAGTGGCCACAGAAACACTAGAGCCTGACAAATTGCACTAGCTTCTATGGGAGTGGGAAAGAGGTGGGGGTGGGGGCAGGGCCGGTGACCCAGGAACGATAGAGACTGACAGCACATGTAAAATTCATGGTATCCCTTGGGCTCCGAGGTAATACTTCACCACTGTGGGACTGATAACTGAGAAACAGGCTCCACGCTATGAAACAATTGTTGCTGATTTTTACAAAAAATCTTAATGGACTCCTCATAAGCTCCTGTTAGAATAGATTACACATCTGACCACTAAAATCACCACCAGCATCACAATGCACTAAAGAAAGCTTAAGGAAAAGAGTAAAAACACACAAACAGACCCACCTCTAAGTCGTTAAAGAATAAGTGTGTGTCGGCCAAGTTGAAGATCATTTCTTCCATCCTCAGGCCTAATGATACAGATGTCGGTGGGTCCTGAAAAAGAGAGAAAAGCAATTTAATTTAAAAAAAAAAGAAAAAAAAAAAGGATTTTCTTTCTTATTTTTTTTAAGTCTTTTTCCCCACATTTTTAAGCACTTAATGTAATATAGTAAATAATGCTGTTCCCTGTAAGCCACTCAATTAACACAGACTCCCTTTAAATTCCTCAGCAGGCTTTTCCCTTAAAAGAAGACATTAGCTTGACTTGAAAGTTTCAGCCTCTGTTTACGACCCTCCAAAAGGGACCGAAATAGTCATCAGAAAAGCCACAGACTTGAATGAATGCAGTAAAAGCATGTCTCTTCTCCGGAGGGGTGGTCGATTTAGACGAGTTAAGGTCACAGCCCTATCGTAAATGGCCCATTCTCCACATACTTGTGCTGATGCATCATTTGATTGCTCTCCAGGTGATATAACACAATTCCCCGTTGAAGTGTATTTAGACAAGACAGCCATATTGACGTGTTTTTTAATATTCCAAAACAATTCTAATGTAAAATAAATAATGATAATTCCCTGCATTATGCTCAACTGTAATTTTCCCTTAAATCATGATCTCTGTCAGTAATGTGACACGTGCTGTAATGGTGATATGGTTGCACTGTCTGAAAGATAATACCTAGAGAGGAGTGAACTGCACTGTAAATAGTTAATGAGCCTGTGACAATGTGTGCGATTTTTCCCTTTAAAAAGATAATGAAAAAGTCTTTGGTGGATTTTACATAAATATCTATAAAGACACAAGCCTTTGTGTAATTATTTTACACATATTAACAAAACAGTTTAAACACATTTACTTCAACTTTACAAAAATCACTTGTTCATACTATCATTAAGTTCCGGTTCAGGGATAAAACATATTTTCTTTGCACAAATTAAATTAATTGAATCTTTATCTTAAATCTCTAACCAGCAAATTGTCTTCAGCAAAGCATAAAGAGGGACAATAGCAGGCTGCAGAGGAGGATTTTCGGCAGCTGCGTGAGACTACATTAAGGACAGGCCAGGCAGGAGCAGAAGCAGGGATTACAGAGTTAAACCACCTGAAGACACACCTGAGCTTTCTACTGATTAGCTGTCACACCCCACAATGCTTATGTTTTCACTAAAATGACAGAGGACAAACCACACAAGTAGAGCTCAATCCCCACTTCTAGAGGCTTTCTCCTTCCTCTTAACCTCCCAGTTCGAATCAATCTTTCAGTCAGAATTCATCAAAAATAATTAGCCTCCCACATCAACAGGCTACCAGGTCCCTCTTCCCAAACTATGGCGCTGTTGGGTGATTTAGCATTACAGCATTACAGGCTCCTTTGGTGGGAAAAGGCAGTCTTCTCCGGCGTGAGTGAATCCTTTCCAATTAAATCTAAACAATCAGTCAGTGAGGGAGTTAAGAATACAAGCAGGCCAGAAGGCCAAAGTGCTGCTGCTGTCAATGCTCCAGCACCACCTGTCCTGAGATGTCAGTGCCATCCACAGGGGCGCCAAGTACCCCCCCTCCCCCCTCCCCCTACCAATAACACCCCCCCCCATCCCCACCCACTTTAAGCTCTAGCTCTGGCCAACCCAATAGCAGCACAGCTGGCCTCAGCCATCAGCTTTATGGGGGTGAGCTGCCTTGATGCCAATTAAAAGAGCTGATAAGAACAGCAGTGTGTTTATGTGTGTATGAGGGAGAGAGAGGCCGAGAGAGAGAGACAGAAACGGAGTCAGAGAGAGAGGGTGGGAGGTCACAGTAAAAGAGAGAAAGTGTGGATGTGTGTTCACTCAGATACTCATCTATTTATAGTAAGCTCAAAGCAGCCTGGAGGGAAAACTGTTTTGTAACTTTTTTGTTTATGCCGTTAAGATAGGGATGACATGAATGATAGACAGGAGGGAGGAGAAGGGGAGGAGATGGGGTGGTTATTGTGGTGGATGTGGGAGAAGTTGGTTTCTACAGGTAGGTAGTTTACAGATTTGCATTTCTGATAAGCTTTGAGGTGGCATGCTCTGTGGTTTCTGTGAGTAAGCATGTCTGCCCCTTATAATATGGCTTTATTGTGATAGTGTCAGCAGTTTGGTGCATGAGAGTAGGAAAAAAAAATTGGGAAAAAAATGGAGAGAAATGAGCAGCCGAGGAGAAAAACAGAGAACAAAAGCGAAAACGGAGTGAGAGGGACTGTAGCGGCTGTCACATCCTATAGCTGAGCTCTGATGGAATGGGCCCTTATGGAGTCAGGAGTGTTTCCTGTTTCAGAGGAGCACACTGGAGACCCTGTGTATGCATGTTTGAGTATGTGTGTGTGTGTGTGTGTGTGTGTGTGTGTGTGTGTGGTTGAAGAGTCCCTCATCACCGAGCCACAGCTCCCTAAGCCTTAGCTCTCTCTTTACCCAGCATGCAGAGCTGAGAATAAAGTAAATAAACAGTGGAGGGTCGTGGGGCAGCCCTCTTTCACCCCAAAAACAAAACACTGCCCCCATCAAACACCCCCTCATACCAGAACAAAGGCACCGAGCATGGGCCGCAGACACTAAGCTGTCTGACATATGAGGAGCAATATGTCATTTTCAACTTCAAAACCCAGACACTTCCATAGCCAAAACAACTGGTGATTAGAAATGCTGCGTTTAGGCAAAGAAAAACAAAATCTAGATCAATTTATAATTTAAAAAATGCTGAATTTGTGATGAATTAATGTTAAGATCCTAACGTCATTTTATTCATGTGTACTATATCTAAATGGGAAGAGCAGTGAGGAAGATGCTATATAGAACCTATGACCTCAACAAAACCATGAGAATAGGATTCTGCTGTGTTTCCCAAATTGTTTGTTTTCAAAGTTTAAATTTAGAGAAGCAATTTACATGGATCAACAAATAGCAAAGTCTTGAGAAGCAAACTCTCCATCTTATGAGCATACACAGCGAAATGGGATAGAAAATGACCTTTCAGTATAATTATATATATGTATATATATAGGGAGTTTGACTGAATTACATTTGGTGGACTCTCTCTCCTGCCAGGATCTCCAGGGAGATCCCTGCCTGAAAGGGATGGATTGAGAAGCACTTAATTAAACTAACAATGTGGCATTTCTGAAGGAGAAAGGAACACTTAAGATGTGTCAATAGACATCCAGAGTGCAACTGTTGTGAGCCCCTACAGCCGAGCCCCGACCAGCCATGCATAGCTCCAACAGCTGCAAAGAGCAGTCAAATACTTGCCAAGCCTTATTGGACCTATTAAAAAAAAGAAATAATTATCTGTACACCGAGTTCTGCTCTGTCTTCTCACTATGGACTTAAAGCACAGTGAAATCTATCCCGCCCTCAATGGCCTTTTTTTTCTCCTTTTAATATTTATGTGTTTTACTGATAAAGTGCACCGCTACTGCTGCAGTCTGATGTCACTCACCCGTCCGTATCTGTTGGCATAAGAACCCGTAAGCAAGGAATGGAAAACGATGATTGTTTCATCCAGGTCCCAGATGAAAACTCGCTGGAGAGATATGAGGGCAGAGGGGGGAAGAAAGAAACAAAGAAAAACAGAGAGAAAAGAGGCAAAATCAATGGTGCACTCTGTAGGACTGCAAGGTGATCCTCCTGGTCAATAGGCCAGGAGCGTGTATTTGTGCGCCACAGGGACCGAGATCCATTTGCTTGGGTTGGTCACCGCAACACTCCTCCCATCACCCCACCACACGCTTTCCAGCCCTTGCCCTTTACATTAGAGTAATCAATAGTGACAAACTAATTAACTAGATATGTTAACATGCCATGATGTCAGCGCTATAATGGGTGCTATTAACCTCCTTCAAATTCATATCATATTAATGAAGAGCCCTCTGAATTACCAGCAGTTTATTTTGACATATGGTCGCTATCAGAGTTTTTTATGGCTCATGGTATAGTAGTACCATTTTTAGTCACAGCTAGTGTCCAGTCTTTGATGACTAGAATATATATGTTATTCACTTCAGTGATAACTTACTTAATCACATGCCCTGTTATTTATTTATGAAGTCTACACAAGAACATTATATAAGATATGTGTTTAATGATGTCATATATTCCACAATGCATTAAGAATGCATTTATAGTTAAGGATTCAGATCTTTAAGTATTAATGCCCATCAAGTGTTAAAGTTGGTGTGGCAGCACATACAGTAAGTGGATTAGTGTCCATGTGCCTCAGACAGGGCGAGGCTGTCTGTCGCCAAGGTAGCGGGCTCACCCTACCTCAAGGTCGGAGTCGGGCGGCGGTGATGGGTTGTTGTTCCTTCTTCCCCGGCCACGTGACTTTCCATCCGAGGCTCGGCGCAATCGATCTGAATCTGAATCTTTAATGGGGGTTGATGGACTGTGAATGGTACTGTACTCTCCTGAAAGGAAGGAAAGAAGGAAGGAGAGTATAAAAAAAAGTGTGTTAAAGATGAGCTATTATTTGCTTTTAGCAAAAATGTTTGAGTGACCATTTGTCTTGATGCAGGACAGACAGCTTCCTGCGACATTATTTAGGGATGAATCCACAGGTAACAAACATATCATAAATCAACTGTGGAGCACATACTAGAAGCTATTGTGCTCCATGCTGATTTAATAAACAAGAGGTAACAGAGTACATGTCAACTAGAAAAAGCGAAGATGTCATTTATTTAAATTGGATGAGTGTGTATGAAATTATGTTTAGTTAAAACCTGATGTATTTGGTGTTGATTGATGACAATTTGAAATGCAAACATAAATGTTGGAATGATTTAAAGATAAAATCAGTATTCGACTGCCAGATGATCCATTAATGCAACATGTAATTATCGGAAATTCTTCATATGTTTTCAGTATAAACTTTTTTTTCTTGCTTGATGAAATCATTTCTTCTTTGTGCATGAGTTAGATAAAAAAATATTTTTGGTGTTTAGCTAATGCTCTCTTATGAAGCACAACTTCAAGTGAGTGAGAAGGAAGGAGTTCAGTGGCCCACTGGTTTCAAAAAGAAACATGGCTCCTATAAGGATCAAACTCCTGATATTCAGGTTACACAAGGATACCCGGCTGCCTGTGGTTTGATTCCTACCTGCAGAGTTGTCTGTGAGGGCCTGACTGGTGATGCCGGCGGGTGGCTCCTGGAGGGTGTAGGTGGTGGTGGTGGAAGGCGTGCTAGGGCTTGTGTTGTTACTTGTCATGTAGGGCGAAGTGTAGGGTGAGCTGTTGTAATACTGAGCATACTGGCCCTGGCCGAAGGCTGGATAACTGGGGTAGTCCTGTGGAGAAAGACAGTGTATATGGATAAAGATAAGGCAAGATGAGAAGAAATGAGATATAAAGCAAAGGTAGATAAATAAAGGTGTGAGAGGGAAAATTTTGATCAAAAAGGTGGAGGCAGAAAGACAAAAGGTAGCAGAGTTGAGGAGGAGAAAAAGGAGGTTTGGCAGAGTAATGTGAGATTTGCCCTGCACCAGTGTTGCTACTTTACAGTGCAGATTCCAAAACATAAATGCAAACACATGTCTGTTCTGTCCTACATCTGGACAACGATCTGTCTTGTTTTTTTTTCTTCTTCCTTTCCTCTGTGGCATAATACATATGTGTTGGAGGAGGTACAGTAGATAATCCTGCGTACAAAGCTTTTGACATCCTGAGTGATTTATGTTTGAATGTGTCACGGATGAAATGTAACATATTGAGTGTGCATGTTTCATAAAGATTTCCAGGCTTGGAAGACGTCTGCAATTCAAACTTATATAAACTGATAGCTGCATACTGATACCAGATCAGAGGGGCAGAACTAAGAGGAAGAAGTGCACAGCTACCTGTTGTGTGCTGTTGAAGCCAGTCGAATTTGTCAGGGAGTTGTTTCCTGCATACAATCCTGAAGTTGTTGTAAAAGTACCACCTTTAAGGACAAAAATAATACAAGTTTGAGTTATACATACAACATATTATCTCAAAAGACATTATTATTGTACGGAAAAGCAGTGCAGTGACAGAAATGAAACGGCACATTGTTAGGGAAAAAAAGATTAGTCTTTTGTGAAACAACTATTTGAGGTGGTGAACAGAGGGAGGCCTGAGGGAGCTCCAAACAGCGACCTTATCTTTCTCCTCTTCCTTCCTTATCAGTGATTGGATCAGGCCTGATGAATGATGGGAGGGGAAGGCAGAGAAGGGTGAGGGATGGACAGAACTTGCTTCCAAAGCCATCCAAGCTCGCACAAAGTGAGGAACACAAGAGACTGTTGTGTGTGAGCTACCGAAGGGTGGCGTTGGGAAAGGGGGGATGGAAATGGTGGGTGGTTTTGGGGGTGGGTGGGGGTGCACATAGGCTGCGCAGTGAGACAGAGATGCGTACGGAAGTAGGGATGAGGTCAGAGTGAGTTCCACTGGGGGGTTGGCTGCTGACAGCCAGCCCCAATGAATATGTATGTTCTTCTTTTCACTTGCTCAAAGGACAGCCCTCTGGGAAAATTAAATCATTCAGAGGGGTTGATAGCATCTAATGGCTTAATAATATACATGACATGAATCATAGAGGAGAGGAGCAGCAGCAGCCCCCAAGGGCCATGACTTCTCTGTTCAGTGGCCATCCACCTGTACTGTCATGTCAGGCCAGAGAACAGCAGCGAGGGATCATAGACACAGTAGAAAGACAGCAGGATGACGAGGAAAGCATGAGGGAGCTGTGTATATTTAAACTAAAATTATTTTTGCTTATTGTTGAGATCACAGTTATCATGATCATTCAATTATCTCTGAGAATAAAGTAGATGTACTCTGCAAAAACCTTTATAATTTGACATCTTCATTTACTTCATTTATAATTCTCTTTTAATCTGTGAATAAAAGTTGTTTCAGATGTGCAAATATTAAAATTGAAATTCTCTTGTTTGCAGCCATATTCATGTTTATAAAAAGGAGAACAGTTCATTACATGTGTTCAGAGCAAATGCCTGCGATTGGTCAGTGAGTAGTAACTATAGAAAAGTTGTGGGAAGTTGTCGACTTTCTCTGCCTACAGTAATAACAGGTGCTTGAGTTTTACAGATTTCATTACAAGTAATGTATTTAAAAAACATCTGTGTCATAGCAGTTCTAACAACTTTCACAAATATGACCCCTGGGCTTTATTTCTCATCTCTGTCCATACAAAGACATATTGTTACTCCATACACCCACCGGGGACATTAATGAGCACTACCGTTGCATTCTTTACACAGCTTCTTCACTTATCATTGCAGTGATCCCCCCCGAAGCCAAAAAATACCCCGTCGCTTCAGCGAAAACGAAGGGGGAGATAAATTTACTGTTCCTAAATGGGGGCGTAATTACACCTTTGTTCCCAGAGACAAACAGAGTGAGTTCCTTTCATCCTCTGGTCATTGGCCCCATCAGGAGGGCCCTCCCACACCGTGACAAACGTGAAGCAGCTTTCAGAACAGGGGGAAGGATCAGGGAAATGAGAGGGGGGGCTCAGGCATGAAGGGTACCGTATGGAAGAAAGCACGAAAAAAAAGAAGACTTAGGGCAGTTTTTAGCCTTGTCAGTTAGCAAAGTACCCAGCACTGTGGCTAAAAAAGAGAAACAAATATCTCCCGAGCACCCAAGATTACCAGGATCTACTAATTATTTGTGCAGTTTCTCACATTCTGCTTCCAGCAATTACACACACAGCAGATCTTTTACCATGTTTTCCAACCTGGACCCAGAACTGTTCTCTCGCTTTGTTGTTTTGTTTGATATTTCAAGGCCTGCGGGGGGAATTTTAAAACTTTTGTGTTCTCCGCAGAAAGTTCAACATCAAGTGAAAGTCCAACAGAACAAAAAGACAGAGAGGAGGAGGAGTAATGCTGTGAAGGACAACAAATTAGCCTAATGCACAGTTCAAACAGTCATAAAAGCTCTCACTGGAAGGGTTTGAGGGTTGCTCTGTGGAGAACAAGGAGCCACATAAAAGCCGAGGGGACCCCTGCTAGCTCAGTGAGAATGAGCCCGTGCTGTTGGGATTGGTGGTGTTGGTTATAGTAGGGGGAGAAAGAAGGGGTCTTGTGGTTCCCTGGGGGGCATGTTTTCTCTCCCTCCCCCTGTCCTGCTCCAGTTAGTTCACTCACTCAAGACCAGACATCATCCCTCCCTCCTCTCCTCCTTCCCTCCTGCCTTCTGGCTCCACAATTGGAAGTCCATTTGCTTTGCTTGATCAGTCCCCTTGCCATGGGCTATGTCTATCATCAGTGCACAATATTTGTAGCAGAAGTTTGTATGCCCCACTTGGGAATAGGCTATCAAGTCCAGATGGGGCTCTCCTTTTAAAAAGGCAACCAAGGCTTCAGCTTCTTCAGCTTGCAGTGCCACTGGGACAGAATGCTGGAATCCAATTATTCACCTAATTAGCATCTGCTCAATCCCACCATCAGCACAATCTCTCCATTTCTTTGCACACCTCTGATGTTTTCGGCTTTTTCTGGCCATCCGTGAGATGCACCACATAAACTGCTACAAGGGATCACAAAGCCAAGGAGCACAAAAACGCCTTATGTCCCCTCCATGATTTGGTGCCACTACTTTAGCACCCACACAAAGCTCCATGGCATCGGACATGAAAGCAAGGAGCAAAAACATTAATCTAATCGTCCTCCGCCTTGACAGCTGGCCACAGGCTGGTGGCAGGGACACTGGCAGGGAGGGGGGGTATCAGATGTGGAAAAAGATTCTTTGGTTGGGACACCCAGGCCTGAGGCACCTCACCCAGGCAGATCAATAGGCCAGAAAGAATAATGATGATGGTGTGGCAAAGGGCCAGAGCCACAGTTAGAGAACACAGGGCCAGAATAGTGGTCAATCTGTCATCTAACATGGCTGTCAATTACTAACGCACTTATTGCTACGTGGGGCATCCGATAGCCAGAGATAGCGGGAGAGAGTGAGGGAGAGACAGAGATAGACGGAGGGAAAGAGAAACACAGAGTAAGAGCATAATACTTAGAAGATGAATGGGCACATAATACTGTCATCGTGAGTTAAACCACTAAGGGCAGGATAGCAGCTTGTGCATTCTGCCGCACATGCTCCGTCTCCTGTTCTCTTTCTTTCACTCTCCCTCTCTCTGCCTCTCTTTTTTCAGGCACTCGTATGCACGCTGCAAAACTCTGGCTGTGGCCGCCTGTATTTGGTTAAGAGGCGTGGAAAAGAGGCTTCCCCGCGCCACATCTGCTGCTGAGCTGGCGTTATTTATTGTGAGATGCTCTGGAGGCTTTTCAACAACATGTGGAGATGTTTCTACTGTCACACATTAGATATTACAGGAGAGAACACAAAGACTACGCTAGCTCTTAGCTAACTGTCCTTGCCTGGGTGCAGGTGCTGCCGGGGAACAGAGTGTTTTCCAACCAATACAAAGAGAATAGCAGAAATACTACATGGCAGGAGGCCTGAACTGAATTTAAACTGGCTGAAAGACTGGACAGAAAGAGCAAAAGAGGGGGAGTGCAGGCACAACAACTCATTTTTATCGGTTTTAAAGCCATAAATCTCCATGGTCTCAGCTCTTAAACAAATACAAATATCATCACAGGGAGAGAGAAAACAAAGGCTGGGGAGTGGGGACATGGCTGGTGCCTCCTAAGTGCCTGCCATTTTTCCATCTGTGTTGATTCTTTTAAGAGGGGAAGAGAAGCAGGCAGCCGTTGTGGCTGCATGTAACAACTGCTGGGATGCAACCATCTTCTGGGGTGAGGGCGAGGGCCGTGTTGTGAATCGGTCTGGCTCTGCACACTGTTAAATCAGGGACAGAGACCTATTCTCTCTCATCTTTTTCAAAGAATAGAATAAACTTTATGTGGATTGGGCTAAGCAGAGGGAACGCACGGCAGACATGATGAAGTTAGACAAAGTAGTATGTAAGTAAGGACACTGCAGATGAGTACTTTTACAATGAGGTTCGAAGGACAAAGATAGATTCGCAGAGCGGCGGGTCTAAGTAAAAGAAAAAACACAAACAAAACAGGAGAAAATATACAAGTAACCAGATTCCCATCAAAGCTACACTAGGTATTTCTAGATTGCTGGTGAATCAAAAACTGCTTTGTAGTTTTGTAGACCAACCATGATTTTGCTGGAAAAATGTCGCAATTATAAAATTGGGCATGCTGTCAATTTTATGAGACAGTGAAGACGTTGGGATTTGACACCATACATACACCCAGTCTTCACCTGTAAGAATGCACAGAGAAAATGATGAAGGATTCACAAAGATGTCCTCACCCTGCATCTGGTAGCTGTAGGGAGCCTGTCCTGTCTGCGGCGTGGTGAAGCCAGAGCCATAGCTTAGGAAGCCTGTCTGTCCCGGGGATTGGGACTGGCTCAGACCCCCCTCCGTCTTTATGCCTGCCCACAATGGACCTAAATCAGTTAGTGACACCAGATCGGTTTGATGCACAGACAACAGTCAACACAGAGGTTTAAATTACACTGGACACAGCAAAGGGACGCAGCCTCTCTCTGCATAACGCACTAATCACAATGGACAAGCGCTGATTATCTGATTAAAGATTTTTACTATCGTCGGTTGTTTAGAAATATTGTCTTGCACTGGGTGCTGTCACACTGCGAAGGAGCTTTCTACTTGACTGTAAACCAAAACGTGTGTTTGGACTATGATTGTTTGATATTACGTTATCATCATCATCATTAATATCATCATGTAAGATAAGTCATCTGTAAGAGGATGCACAAGTATTAAAACATTGTGCTTGTGTTTGTGAGTCAAACCGGCCGCTGCTTATATTGAATCAGTCTCGATGCAGTTTCTGTGCAACGGTAGGTTGCAGGGCTCCATTCAAATAAACAGTATAAATTCCTGCACATATTGGAGAGTCTTCTGGGGTCAAAACACTCCAAAGACTTTGGACAAATAAAGCCTACAGTGAGCCTTGTACTCTATGCGTTCTCTTGCAGTGCCAGAGGAAACCAGTTTTTGTTTTCAGATTTATATCACTAATCTTTCAGATCCATCTGAACAGCTTGACAAGCAAATTCTGTTTTATTGCAGTGGAGGAGAATAGGCAGGCACTAGACAAGAACTCAGCATCTCTCCTGGTCTTGCTTTACTGGAGGAATTGTGGGAACATGGTTTGTAATGAACAAGGTCCTGACCTTCAGGAAGGAAAAATATTTAGTTGTAAATTTCTCTGTCTATGCATGCATTCAATTTACACAACACTGACCTTGTTAGCAGGCAACTTCAGCAAGACAAGAGAAGGTTATGATTTGTGTTAGAGAAATCTTACCGTAAGCTGGGATGCCATACGGCTGGCCAGGCTGGGGGTAGCTAGCATAAGCTGCGGCCTGCTGCATTCCTGTGGTGTACTGCGTCTGCCCATACGCAGCCATATTTTGGGATGAAGGGGTAGGAAGAATATGCGGATATGTTCTGCTGTTTGAGAAAAGAAACAAAAGACAAAAGTGAGAAAAGGAAACACAAACTTCGCTAACTGACAAATTCCTTGTGATTGTGCTACTTCATTCTAAACACCGAGCCAAGCGGTAAGACAGATAGCATCTCACAGCTCATATACATAGTGAAAGAACAATAAATGGCAAAGGAAATTTTTGCAAGATAATAATTACGACAGATTTTAGAGTGCGCAAGCTGCAGACATCCCAGCAAACAAAGCCAGTCGAGAACCCCCCGATCTAACAGAAGGATCTAATTAAAGATCCAAACGAAGTTGGATGCTGCTTATTTTTTAAAGAAAAATAAAAGAAGCCTTACTTGGAAGGATAAATCTGTGGAGAGAACTGGTGAGTTTGTCTTGGGCTGAAGCCACTGGTTCCAATAGCTGAGGAGAGTTAAAAAGAAAAGAGGCAAGCACATATTTAAACATTAAGAAATAAGGTAAATATTATCTTTTGCCAACAGAACTTCTGGATTCCAAGGAAAAGTAATTACATTGCATTACTCTATTTATTTCGGTAACCTTATTTAAGGTTGAAAACCGGAGAGCAATAATGAAGTAAAATAATCAGGTAAGAACATCAGGTTTTTCTGCTGACCCGCGTATCTCTGAGATACTTCTGGGCTGCTATGACGACCACTGGTGTAAACACTCACAGGATGGTCTGAATCAGTCTCGGCCTGTGGCTTCAGTTGCCTTGGGCTTTTCAAGCCACAACCACATTGGAAGTGACATCACTGATTGCAGGTAATGAGTGCTACTGCATAATCATTCCTTCATTAAGCGTACGACTTTGTGGTTCCACGGTGCTGTTAACTTGTGAAAGTTCAGCCACAAATAATTCACAGAGTGTTTTTAAATCTGCTATAAGAGTCATGTATCACACACACACACACACACACACACACACAGAGTGGGCTTGTCAGTGTTTTTTTTTTTTTTTCTTTTTTAAGTTTTTTTAAAATGCCAAATAAACTCTAATTAATAAGAAAAAGTGAATTTATATTAATGTTCTCAGTGTTACCTGCAGACTTTAGTTCAGAAATTAGACATATGAATTTTGGAAAAAAGTAAAATAAATAAAATCTAAACATAGAATTCCTAACACACAAGAAATCCAAGCTGCAAGAGCTCAGCTTCCACTTTGATGATTGTATTAAAAAAAAAAAAAAAAAAAAAAAAAAAGTACCGTTATCGGTTTTAATTTAATCACTCGTTTTGAAAATTTATTTTAAATGATATCTAAATTTGCAAAAAAACACAATCGATGGAGGTTTAAATTGGAACACTTTATGTTAAGTACATTTTTATCAAAAATTCACCGTTTATTAAAAACACTGAATAAATGAGACAGGCAAGAATCAGTTCTCGCATTTAACTGCAGCCGAGTGGCACAGTTTTGAAACATCTGTCTAATTGGTCATGACATGTAAAATATGGGATTTGGTTGCGGGGGAGTGCTAACTGTGTGTAACTGTATGCTGTAACCCCTCACACACGTTATTAATATTGAACACTTTTCCCACATCAGCAGCACCTGCCACTGGACAAAACCTGCTCTTCTGAACGGAGCTTTGGGTTTCCCCACGGAGGATATGGGGTATAAGATTACTAAATTTCATTAATACTGTCACAGACAAAAGTCATACCAGTGATTTATGCACCTCTAGCATTAAAGTATCAAGTACTTAGTTAAACAGTTGAGGAAAAACAGGAAAATTAGCAGCAAGATAATACGATGCACAGTTGGATGCAATGCTATTAATAAAGGTTTATAGAAAATGTAACATAGCACTGCAGGTTGACATAGATACCACTCAGGGTGGAAAAAGAAATAAGCTAAAAAATTATCACATTAGTGATTATTTCTTTTACAATTCTTACAATGCTCATTATACTCAGAGGGCTTGGTTTTATTTAGCAATGCCCGCGTGTGTGTTTATCTGTCTGATGTTCCCGTGCTGAGAGGAGGGTGTGAAAACCCTGGCTCTGACAGGGTGATAGGGTAACAGCCCGTGGAGAGCGAGGGCCACTGGGACGTCATGTCACTCCACTGGACAGACAGGCTCAGTGCATTACAGGTCACAATTCAGTCCTCACTGGCATGGGAACCAGCGGTGTTAACACACACACACACACACACACGCAAGCAAGCACAGCATATATATGTGCTGACAAACGTAAGGTAGAGTCTCTTAAACACACACACACACACACACACACACACACACACACACATACACACACACTATATTGGCGTTTTAGCTACAGGGACACTTCCTGAGGCCCAGCTTATCAGACACCCATCTCCAGGATCATCTCTCCCTAATCAGTTCTGCATCTTTGTGTGTGTGTGTGTGTGTGTGTGTGTGTGTGTGTGTGTGTGTGTGTATATATAAGAGAGAGAGAGAGAGAGAGAAGCAACCAGACACATGAATACACACACACACACAGTCCTCCCCGCTCACCTGATCCTGAGAAGCTGTCTAGAGAGGTGTCTGCTACCGAGGTGGCGAGTTCGCTGCTGCTCATTGGCTCGGTTTTAACTGCAAACAAAGAAGCCACATTGTCACCAAACGGTCCAAATCAATGTCTGAAAAATAAAAAAAGATCAGATTAATGTCTAACTATATATCAGCTTTTCGGATTTTCACATTCACAAAATTATGTTTTGAAAACTAATCAAAAGTTACTTTACTGTATGAAATAAAAACAAAAGTGCAGAGGTGCAAGGAAGCAGTCAACCAACTTTTCAACAGTAGTTACAATAATGTCAGCAAATTCAAATTCATGATAAAAATTATATATTATATATGTATTAGTTCCAATGGTTTCTATATATTTCTTTATTCTATTATCTTTAATTCTTTTTGATGGGATTTATCTGATTTTTCAAGAGACTTAGCTTTATCTTTATCACTGATCCTTATCTTACTTATCTTCATTTCCGGTAAATCTTATTTGTTCATTTCAAAAATGCGCTTTTAACTATTTTGCAAAAGCAATATCAATCACACTTTATTTGATATTTCATTAACAAAAAAAAAATAGTCTACTAAAAACGTCTAACTAAAAAGTCTTGCATTATCATTTTTATTGAATGATGAATTACTGGCTTATCAGTACTTAAATATAGCATAAAATAAAAATCACTACTGCGGGTGTGTGTTAAGAGTCAATGATAAAAAATTACAAGTAAAAATTGAAATGTCAAGGAAATATATGGTGTATAAAATCTTTTTAAGAGTGTAGCGAACGCTGTTTGACCTTGACTCCATTATACAGCTTAGCAATAGATCTGCAAAGACAATTTCACAGCTATCTGACAGCTCAGGAATCTTTGAAATCAATCCATTTCACTTCAGGCGGGCTGGAGGGTTTTTTTCCCCTTTTTTCTTTTTTGGCAAAACAAATTGACAATGTGGGCAAGCGAGTCATGCTCAGTGGAATCCCTGATGGTTGAAGAAGCCATTTGCTGTCATGTTTTACATGTTTCCGCTATGCTTGTTCAGTGCGGAAACATATGTTGACGAGAGGCAATTCTTTTGAACAACACACTGATGAAAAAAATAGTGGCGAGGTGCATGCATAAACTAGCACACACTCAGGTCACAGAGCACACAATAACCACTGTATTCAGGAAACGGCATGGAACGTTCAAATGAAAACAAAATGCACAGTATGCAGGTTCAAAATCTGAACATTCATTAACAATGGACTCAAAATCCAGTCGTGTCAAACCATGCTTGAAACAGAATACCACAACGATTACAGCAAATACCAGAGAGTTTCTGAATGAAAGGCACAATAGTTGAGGTGACTTTAGAATTTTTCTGCTGATAAATAGTGTATTTTTGGGCCTTAAAAAGAAATACAAATTAAAATTTCTCCATGAGCGAGGTAGGTAAAAAGGTAAACCACAAAGACTCCTTTCATTCTTGCTCTCAGTTGAGTTGGGGAAAACTCCAAGTATTGTCCTTTCATTGTGTCACTAAGAGTAGACAAACCTGCAGCGGACTGTGAGTTAGAACCTAACAACCAGTCTGCAGTGGTAAGCATTGTGATGTTATCACCTATGGGAAACAGAGAATGGCAATTGGACACATTGACAGTCTGCACCATGTCTACGGGTCCTGTGTCATATATATACAAAGAAATAAACCCTGAGCTCAACCTGAAGATTGCATGACAGTGATGGATGTTTTTAATAACCCTTTGGTTTGTGTCATGGGCATGACTGCTTCACTAAACAAAGGCTCAGATTTAAAGCACAGGTGAATCACCTGAGTAAATAACTATGTACAGTAGAAACCTCATGCAAAACGCTGTCATTTCCATGCTGTAAGTTTTGAATAATTACATGGTTGCTTATATAAACAGCTAATAGTCACTGGAAAATAACTACTAGAGGAAATTAATGCTAGCAATGCTTGGTCCTGTAAGGTCCAAAACAATCTGCGATGTAATCCATCAAATATAAGGTTCATTTTCTCTATTGTTTTACTGCCTGTTTAATATTATATCAAGGCAAAAGATTATTGCTAATTCACCCTATTTAAAAAAAAAAACTCAGATTTTGACACAACATTGCATTAGCTTTATTGATTAAAAAGTCAGTTTCACACTGAATATTACGATACAGTATCTATCACCATTCTCAGCTTTTATGTATATATATATTTAGAATAGCATACAAGACTGAGAGAATAATAGCATATAGCACAGCACACATACCTTCAGTGCCATTGGGTGTCATGGAATTGTTATTGATGTGCGAGTTGTCGAGGTTGGGACCATTAGGAGATTCACTGCTTCCACTTATTCGGCTGTGAGGACTGGCTAGATCCTGCATTTCCATAGACCTGACGAGGCACGCACGCGCGCACGCACACACACACCACACACACACACACACACACACACACACACACACACACACACACACACCAAATCAAATTACACATAACACTCTGATTTCAGGGAAGACACACAGCTTTGATATGCAATGCTGTATACAATATGCAAAATACAGTAGTCCAGATTTAAAAGAATAAAATGGTGATGATACTACAAAGTAAAAAACATCTACACTATTATAGATGAGTTGCTGAGTAAAAAAAAAATTCTATTAAAACTGCATTTAAAATGTAAAATTCACTGCAATTTTACGAATGGCTATCTTGCATGTGATATTTTCAATGCAATTTACAGAAATCACATTTTTATCTGATGCCAAATGACATTTTGAAGAAAAAATTTAGTTGTGAAAATGAAAAAAACATATACATGGCAAAACGTGACACACTCACAAACGCACAAAGAAAAACAGTGGGATTCCAAACCATGAAATGAATAGTAAACATTTTGACAAGATAGTTTTTCGGTTTCTCTTATTACAGCAATTTCACAAGTCACTGTTTTATATGATGTGAACACAAAGAGTTTACTATCAATTTACTCTGGTGTATCTTAAGCAAGAATGGCCTTAAGTGTATATCGTTTTGTGTGGTATCGAAGACTGTTAACAGATGTTTGCTGGTTTGAGGCAATGGTTAATGTGCCTGTTAAAAGTGCAGCACTCTGCTTGATTATAAGAGCCCATGCCTCAGTGATGGGCAGATGAGAAGCTCACGAGGCATGTGTTTGCTCTGGCAAGCTCCTTAATTGTTTCTGTGTTTATACAAAAGACCACGCCACTGAAAACATTATTCTATCTTCTCATTTGTGCGCTCAAAGGATTTGATCAAGTATAGACAATGGAGAAGAAAGAAGGCACGAGTGATTTGAAAAGTACAGCCACAAACTCCAGACCCCATTTGTCTCTGCCACCGTTCCCATTGCAACAGTGAGTTAATGAAATTAGGACAAAATGTTTTGTACATTATACTGCCATTTCCAATTATATTCCAGGGTTCTGGGTATCTCTGCTATCGATAAACATTGGCCTTTTACACAAGGCCACAAAGATAAATGCTCAAGTCACTCTAAGTAGTCTGAGTGCTATCAGATGGCATAAAAGAAACCAGAATTATGAGATAAAAATATTAAATTATGATATGCATTTACTGTATTTAAGATTATATTATGTTATGATATTATGATACTTTGCAGTATAGTTTGACAAATTCTCTCCTTTCTTGCGGTTCAAGTCCAATTTAATTATCAATGGAAAAAAAGACTAAGACAACTACAACAAAAATGTTATAAAAGAAAAAAACAATAATGCAAAAGGCCAGTTCAATCTTCTTCACACATACTCCAATAAAGGAAGCTGTATTATCCTTTTCCCAAAGGTATATTAATTTACTTCTCCGCTAAAAATATCACACTCTCCAAGCATACAACCACACAGAGGTGCAAATATAAACACTTAAGGACTGTCCAGACACAGCTAACCTTATTTCTGCACCTCACACGCATTACTTAAACCCGTTTTTTCCTCCTTTATCCAACCTTTTTTCTCATTAGCTGACAGCGAAAAAGCCATAACTATCTCTAATCAGACAACACAGCAGACTGAAAGAAGTTGACAGTTGTTTAGCAGAGACCCAGGCGATCTCTGATGCCACGCAGAGCTACATGTCTCTGATGCTGCTGGCACTGGCTCAACTGTGCTCTTACCTGGACCTAGATGGCTTTGAGTCCTCTCAAACCACACTCTCTTTCTTTATTCTGTCTCCACCTGCCCCAGCAGAAACAATGTCGCTCCTTGTTATTGCGGCTCGATGTCACAGTCCAGAGCCATCCATGACACAAAAAGGCTTGTCTGAGAAAACATTATTGTTATTCTGGAGCAGAATGGGAAGAGAGGGCTAGCGGGGGAACAGAGGCGCACATTGTCTCTCTTCGAGCCGCAGCCCTGCTCCACTGTTGTTTCCTCCTCCAGGTCCTCCCTCCTCCCTCCTCCCTGAGCAAGGGGAGCACGGCCAAATGACGGAAAGGTGATTCATCATTGGTCTACGACAGCTGCAAACTGGATTAGCCCTCCCCCAATCAACATGCAAAGCTGCTTAGCCAAGGTAAGCAGGAAGGGGTGGGGGGTGGGGGGGTGAAGGTAGGCAGCGGGGTGAGGGGTTGGGGATAGCAGGGGCTGAGGGGCAGCAGAGGGTGGGAGAGCCTGCCCGCTTTCCTGCTTGAGGTAGCCTGCTGCTTGAAGGAAGATGGGACTTGTTGAGGAGAGACAAGTCAAGCGTGACACCCCTAGCATCTTCAGCAGATCTTTCATCTGCATTGACACTATCTGAAATTTATCAGCACTCCCCATCCCAGCATACTGACAGGTCCTAATGACCGTCAGGGCTGCTTTCCGCGGGCCTGCCCCAGCCTGGGGCTATGGCACAGCACAGAAATACACAACTTCCTACTTCACAGTCTATTCACAATGGACAGAAAAGCAGAAAGAGAATAATATACACACTGACACAGACATTGTATAAATCTCTTCTTTCTCTGTGGCAATGTGAAAATTCATGCTTATGTCTTTTTCTTTTGCACACAGAGACACATAACTCATGTCTGCATGTGTACACACACTCGTGCACAGGGCACTTCAGAGGCCCCCACATCAGTGGTGCAAATGCGAGCGAGCGCACGCACATGCACGCACACACACACACACACACACACACACACACACACACACACACACACACACAGGGCACTATAGAGGCCCCCAGATCAGTGGTGCATCTCAGACAATGAAGGAGACTGGAAACAAGAACACGGAGAGCATATGGAGCCACATATGTTTCCTATGACGCTACGAATGCCTCTATTACTCTCCTTTAGCTGACAGTTACATTTTGCTGTCCACTCCAGCTCTGCTCGTCTCTCTCCAAACATCAAGCAGAGCCATATACTTGCATGACTATAACACTATATTAGACCTGACTACAGCCCACCATGGGAATACAGGGTCCAAAAAAGGTCAAAGGTATTCAACTGGTCGGGAAAAAGGAAAAAGACATATAAAGTCTTTTTTCAAAAATCCTGGCATGATTTTTTAATGGCTGGCTGTTTACATGAGCCAGGGTAACCTGAGCTACATGCATGGTCTTAAGTTTTTTTTCCTTCTTTTTTTTTTTTCAACAGGCTTTGCTCTTCACACCAAGGCAAAGCCTTCATGAATACCATTCCAGCTTTACAATTTGCCTTCTCTCTCACTGCTTATGGCACAGCCATCTTAGCAAAAATAACCATTATATTTCATTCTCACTTTAGGAGCCACGGACAAGAGCAGTGCCTCCTCCTGGCATTTCCCAATATTGAAATATGCACAGGGGATGTCAAAATTACCAACATATCAATGGAAAAGAAAGTCCACAGAGGTAAAAGCCATAAAGACGAAAGAGAAACACATTTTGCCACAGCACATTAACAGCGATCACAGAGTTGGGGGAAGTTGTGGAGAGAGTGCTGTGGTGGGTTGCTGTGGTATAGCGTGTGTGTGTCTGTGTATGTGTGTGTTTGTGTGTGTGTAGTGACTTGTTTCTCTGTTCAGCAGTGCAGGCCAGTGAAGACATTACCATGCTGGTGTCTCAACCATTGCCAGCAGGTGAAACCAGCCAGGTGAAGAGAGAGAGGGAGAGCAAGGAAGATGGGAGAGAGAGGAGAAGGCAGGGGGGCAGGGATTTAAAAGCAAAAACAAGCCTTTCTTCTGCCATGCTAAATATTTATTGTTTAAAAAAAAAAAAGGGGGGGGGGGCTGCATTTAGCATCTTTGATGTGCTTCTTTAGTTCAACCTGAACTAACGGGTCTTTGAAGCTAACAAGAACAAAGCCTAGCTAGATGAAGCGCTGGAAGTGTCATCAAGAGAGAAAAAAAAAAGAAAAAGAAGTGCCACAACATGCTTCACTCATGGTTGTTTGCAGGTCTTTTGTTTTGCTTTCCTTATTTCAAGACCTGCATTTCCAAAGGTAAACATAGTAACAGCCAAGCTTTTAGCATAGATCACCTCAGCATGCAGGCTGACTGACCTGGCACAAATCATTCTCTCCTCCTTTGCTGCGTGTACCTGAGCTACTACCGCTACAGGAGAGGGTTAGCTATTTTTAAAGGGAAGGTGTTTAATCAACTGCAAAATTTTATTTTCACATATTAATGATTAGTGTTGCAAACAAAAATGATCAAACAGAAGATGGAACTGAAAAAGAAATATGAGTGAATATGGTTTGTTTATTTCTATTCTCCACTCCCTGTATCATCTTTAATAGATATTAATTTTATTGGGCAAAGTCCACAGTCCTTTGAATTTTACAGACTACGTAAGCCATGTGTTGTGAGTTACAACTTTTGAAAAACAATGCTTTAATCAAAATCTAACTTTAAAACAACTAATCCCCACTTAAGCTGGTCAGCTGAATCCACATGGTGGCCCAGGAAAAATAAATCCACTCGCAAAGAATGTAGATGCAGACAACAATTGGACACAGATGTGAGAGGAATTAGGCACAGTTTACAAAATGCTACACTTCACTTGTGTCTCTATACGTGGCTGAAAAAATTAGGGTTGCCAACAAATGCAACATTAAATAGCTTGGTGTTTTTTCATCCTCAAAGGTAAAGTATTTTAGATGAGACAACTGCTGCACATTTGAAATTACATGGTGGTGTAATTCTCAATAATGACACCACTTTGCTGAACACTGATTTCTGAGAAAAAAAGAATATGCTTGCTTAAATGTATTGTTACTTTACAACTAGAACATGTAATAAAATAAAATAAATTTAAATTAAAACATGAAACATTGCTTTTTATTTTTTATATTCCATGTACCGCATATTTATTTGTACTGATATGCTGCTGTGGGATGTTCAACACATTTAAGCGCAGCACACAAATGAGACGACAAATGAGA